TGAACTCTTTTTTTTTTTTTTTTGAGGCAGAGCCTCAATCTGTTGCCCCGGGTAGAATGCCATGGTATCACAGCTCATAGCAACCTCCAACTCCAGGGCTCAAGTGATTCCCCTGCCTCCGCTTCCCAAGTAGCTGGGACTAAAGGCACCAGCCACATACACCTGAGCTGGCGGGTTCAAATCCAGCCCGGGCCCGCCAAACAACAATGACGACTGCAACCAAGAAATTGCCAGGCGTTGTGGCTTAGGTGCTTGAGCCACAGGCGCCAAGCCTGATCTTGACCTCTTGAGCTCAAGCGTGAGCCACCACACAGGCCTTTGAGGATATCTCTTGACTTTCATCTCCTTAGCTAAGGCTGTTTCATTTAAAATTTGTACCGATGAGACCCCAGAGCCCTCTACTTACCTACCTATGGGTGTTTAAATTTAGAATTGAGGCATTACAATTTAGTAATTAAGGGAGACTCAGACAGCTTTAGGTTTGTATCTGAGTTATGTTGTCTTTGTCAAAGTATTTAGCATTTTCATTTCTTAGTTTTCTCCTCTATAAAGTGATAGACTAAAGAAGGTCATGCATAGAAAGTGATCAGCCCAGGGTCTGGTATAGGTGCTCAAAGCTTGTTGGATAGTAGTGTTATTATACAGGGGGGCTTTGTTTTTTAGTGCCTTTGTGTGGGTGGCAGGTTGGAGTTGGAGGAGTCCTCTTCAGATACCTTTTGCTCATTTCTGGAGTTTTAGTTTTATTGACTCTTTTTTTTTTTGAGACAGAGCCTCACTGTACCCAAGCTGTTGCCCTGGGTAGAGTGCCATGGCAACACAGCTCACAGCAACCTCCAACTCCTGGGCTCAAGCGAGTCTCCTGCCTTCCCCTCCCAAGTAGCTGGGACTACAGGCACCTGCCACAACGCCCAACTGTTTTTTTTTTTGGTTGCAGCCGTCGTTGTTTGGCGGCCTGGGCTGGATTCGAACCCACCAGCTGAGGTGTACGTGACTGGCGCCTTAGCCGTTTGAGCCACAGGCGCCAAGCCAGTTTTATTGACTCTTCAGAGAATATTTGCTGAGATTTATTGTATGTTAAAGATCTCTAGAGATAGAAAGGATGTTCTTTATCCCTCACTTCCTATAGGCAGCTTCAAACCTTTATTTAAAGAATGATTTCTTTGTCTTAAATTTTCTAATCTGTATTTCATCCTATTATAATATTTTTGCCTTCTTCCTTCCCTAACAGTTCCTTGTTTTTATATTCTCCAAATATCAAACAAATCCCTTGAGCCCAGGAGTTTGAGGTTGCTGTGAACTATGATGTAACGGCGCTCTACCAAGGGCAACAAAGTGGGACTCTGTCTCAAAAAAAGAAATATTTTGATTGATTTTTTTTTTTCCTCTTGGGCTTAAGCAATTCTCTTGCCTCACCTTCCCAAGTAGCTGAGACTACAGGCAGCGCCACAATGCCTGACTATTTTTAGAGATGAGGTCTCCCTGTGGCTCAGGCTGGTCCAGATTCTGTGAGCTCAGGCAATCCACCCACCTGAGCCTACCACGTGCTGAGATTACAGTTTCGAGCCACTGCACCTGGCCCATTGATTGATAATTTTTTTTTCTTCTTGAGACAGAGTCTCAAACTGTGGTCCTGGGTAGAGTGCTGTGGAGGCACAGCTCACAGCAACGCCCAACTCTTGGGCTTAAGCTATTCTCTTGCCTTAGCCTCTCAAGTAGCTGGGACTACAGGTGCCTGCCACAATGCCTGGCTATTTTTTGGTTGCAGTTGTCGTTTTAGCAGGCCCAGGCTAGGTTTGAACCCACCTTGCTCAGTGTACATGGCCGGCTATGGACACCACCAGGAGACAGCTTTTTTAAACTCAATAACTTTTTTTTTTTTGTTTTTTTGAGACAGAGCCTCAAGCTGTTGCCCTGCGTAGAGTGCTGTAGCATCACAGCTCATAGCAACCTTCAACTCCTGGGCTTAAGCGATTCTCTTGCCTCAGCCTCCCAAGTAACTGGGACTACAGGCACCTGCCACAATGCCGGGCTATTTTCTGCTTGCAGCCGTCATTGTTTGGCGGGCCTGGGCTGGGTTCGAACCCACCAGCTCAGGTGTATGTGGCTGGCGCCCTAGCTGCCAAGCTGCCAATATTTTTTAATTGAAAGTTTTTCTAGATACTTAATAGACTTTAATATTCTGCTGGAACTTTGTACTTTGATAGAAAAACATAAGACATAGAGTTTTCCAGACAGAATAAATAGCATAAGCCAAAGTACAGACACAGGAAATTGTGAAAAATATTCAGGAAACAAAAAATCTATTTGGCTAGGTTAGTGGTTCTAGATCTGGGACTCTGGGACTCTCAATGCAAAATCTTAAGAGTTTTCAGAAAATACTGATGCTTGAGCTCTACTCCTATAGTTCAGCTATATTTGATTCAAGTAGAATGATGACTCTGGGCTAGAACATGCGGTGTAAGCAAAGGGGAAGAAAGGCTAGAAAAATAGGGAATCTTGCATGCCAGGCCAAGGAATTTGTGCTTAATTCAAGCGATAGAACAGAAGTATTGGACATTTGTGAGAGGGCAGTTCATGTGATAAGAGGTGTACCTAAGGAGGAGTCATTTATCAATACTGTTTATGTGAAATTAGCATAATAAAGTGGATTAGCTACAAAGGCTACCATAGTACATGTGGGAAGTAGAGCTACCCACAATTAAGGTGGTGAGACTGGAAAGGAGGAAGTGAATACAAAAACTGTATAGGCTAGGCACAGTGGCTCACGTTTGTAATCCTAGTACTCTGGGAGGTTGAGGTGGGTGGATCGCTTGAGCTCAGGAGTTCAAGACCAACTTGAGTAAGAGCGAGACCCCGTCTCTACTAAAAAAAAAAAAATGCTGGGCATTGTGGCAGGCACCTTCAGTCTCAGCTACTCAGGAAGCTGAGGCAAGAGGATCACTTGAGCCTAAGAATTTGATGTTGCTGTAAGCTATGATGCCATGGCACCCTACTCAGGGTGACAGAGTAAAACTCTGTCTCAAAAAAAAAGAAAGAATGAAAAGAAACTACTGTGTGGGTAGAATCTGTGGAACATAAATGTTGAAGAAAGCACAAGAGATGAGTCAGAGATGACTGAGGTTTTAAACCCAGTTGATTGGGAGGATGGAGGAGAGGCATTGCCAGTGATGGAAACAGAGGATCAGAAAGAAAAAGTAGTTTGAGAGAAAGATAGTGATCTCAGATTTGGAGATATTGAGCTTAGAGAGTCAGTGGGCAGAATGAATGGAGGTATCCATCAGGTACGTCAGAGGTTATCAAGGCTCTCTGTTCCAAACTGGACCATTTCTTAGAAATAGAAAACAAATGGCCTCAAACTGCTGGCCCTTTGGTGTGTAATGAGTTGTTTAATGCCAGGACTCTATAACCATTTGAGTTGTACCAAGGTACCTTCATAAACATAATATTGTAGGATGCATATAATTTCTAAGAGGATTAAATATATGAAATATATTAGAGAGATATCCTTGCAATATGGAACCTATTATTTCACTAATGTTTCCTTGCTTTTCTTTTGATAGAGAAATGGAGGAAAAAGTCACTCTGCTTAATGCACCTACAAAGAGACCAAGGTAATGCTCAAGAGACTGTTGAAGACTAATGTATCCTAAATTACCAGCGGGACGGGGGAGGTCTTTCTTGGTTTTATACATTATTTGATTTCAGTAGCCTTTGGCGTTCTGTCAGGAGAAAAAGCTGTAATTTCACCCTCTTGCTTAAGTAGCCATCATGACCATGATGAATGTTGAGAGTGTAGGTGTTGTGGATCAGACCAGCATCTGATCTAGCAAAGCTGAGATGAAGCCCTCAGGCAGGAATTGCAAAGCCTGCTATGTGATAGAGCGTTGAGAAAAGTTGTCAAGAAAGAACATGCTTTCTCATACTGTAATTGGCAATTCTTCTCAGGGAACCAACTGGTAGCATTTTTCTTTCATACTGTTTTTATGTTAAATGTGCCTTTATTCTGGGGTTGCTGGCAGGTCAAGCACTGTGACTGAAGCACCCATTGCTGTGGTAACATCACGAACCAGTGAAGTCTATGTTTGGGGTGGTGGAAAGTCCACCCCCCAGAGACTGGATGTCATCAAGAGTGGCTGTAGTGCCCGGCAGGTGTGTGCCGGGAATACCCACTTTGCTGTGGTCACAGTGGAGAAGGAACTGTATACCTGGGTGGTAAGTGGAAGCTAAGTTCTTTGGAGTAGTGCTATAAGCCTCACTGTTTACTAGACCCAGGATGTTTATGCATTTTGTAAGTTGAACCTGTGTTAAGGGAGTGGCAGTATGGGGTGAAGCTCTTAGGAGAGCAAGGATTTTGTCCGTTTAATTTACTTGTGTATCCCTAGGGCCTGGTACACATTAGGTCACCTGTAAGTATTTTCTCAATGAATGAAGGAGAGAAAATTAAAGAGCCCTAGGTTTGAAGCCAGGACACTAGGGTTTCCCATTTACAGCTGGATGATTTAAAACAAGTTACTTAATTACTGTTATATTACCATGAGGTTCAGAGCAACTAGTGTCTGTCCAATATACCTGCAAACATAGGAAGCACTGTACCATGTCAGGCACCCTCTGAGACCTCCACAGTGATTGATGATAGCTAGTTGTAGCTTACGTAGAATTTCCATATGTTACCCTCTAAATTCCACTCTGACTCTCACCTTTTTATCCCTAGTCTTTCTTCATTCACCTGCAATGCTGCTTCCATCTCTGTCACTCAGTTGAAACTGGTTTTGAGGAAACGACATGTAAATTACTAAAATAAAACAGGTCCTTTTTATTCCTTACCCAGCTTGACCTCTTGGCAACACTTGATGTAGTTGACCGTTCCTTCCCTGAAGCTTTGGCTTCTGTGATAGCAGGTTCTCTTGGCTTTCCTTGTTTCTTTGTGCCTTCTCAGGCTCATTTCAGGCTGCTTTTTCTTTACTCCTCCTTGTTTTAGGCCCTTGGTTCCTGTTTCTTAGGGAGCTTAGTTTTTCCAGTGATTTCAGATACTTTCTCTTTGGGGACAGGAACTATATATATGTCTTTTTCACTGTTTTATCCCAGTATGTGAGACACTCAACTATCTATTGACTGAAATAATGAATGATTTAGCTTTTGTTATACAGAGTGTCCTAAAGGTTGTCCACAAAGTGGCCATTCATAGGGAAAATCAGAAAGTGTTGCTAAATGTACCTTTATTTACAAAATAATTCATTACAAAATTTTACAAAGTATTTTCTATGTGTTGCCACCTCTTTGTAAAATTTTGTAATGAATATTTTGTAAAGATATATTTAGCTACAATTTCCCATTTTCCCTATGTATGTATGGTGTCAACTTTTGAGACATCCTGTAGAGTGAAGAATTTTGCTGTTGTTTCCTAAAACCCTGTCCCTTAAAGCACCATTCCCTAGGGACCCATCAGAAGTGGAGTAAAATTAGTGCCTTAAAAACTTATACAGTAGAACCTCTGTAAGTTGGCTCCCAAAGGGCTGTAATAAACTGTTCAACATACAGAGGTGGACAACATAAGGAACTAGACCTATGGTGCATACCTGGTCTATGAAAATTAGGTCAACTTAAGGAAGTGGTCAACTGTGGAGGTGTACTGTATAAGGACTTGTAATTGAATCATTGAGTGGAAAGAATTACTTATAAAACTATGAAGTAATCTTTAAAACTGTTGAAAAGTCATGGAGGACTGTTTTCAGTGCCATATAGCAGCCACTTTGATGTAGCCAAATTCTTCTTTTTTTTTTTTTGAGACAGAGTCTCCCTTGTTCTCCTTGGTAAAGTGCCCTGGCATCATAGCTCACAGCACCCTCAAACTCTGGGGCTCATGCAATTCTTTTGTCTCAGTTTCCCAAGTAGCTGGGACTACAGGCAACGGCCACAGCACTCGGCTATTTTTAGAGTCAGGGTCTTGCTCTTGCTCAGGCTGGTCTAGAACCTATGAATTCAGGCAATCCACATGCCTCAGCCTCCCAGAGTTCTAGGATTACAGGTGTGAACCACCACGCCTGGCCAATATAGCCAAATTCTTTATAACTATTCCATAGTTCAGGGAAACTGTGACCAAAATGTGTAAAACTTCTAGTACAGGCCAGGCGTGGTGGCTCATGCCTATAATCCTAGCACTCTGGGAGGCTGAGGTGGGTATATTGTCTGAGCTTACAGGTTTGAGACCAGCCTAAGCAAGAGCAAGACCCTATCTCTAAAAATAGCCAGCATAGTGTCAGACACTTACAGTCCCAGCTATTTGGGAAGCTGAGGCAAGAGGATCACTTGAGCCCAGGAGTTTGAGGTTGTTGTGAGCTATGACTCTACCCAGGCTGACAAAGCAAAACTCTCCAAAAAAATAAAAAACAGAAGAACTTCTAGTACAGATTTCCAAGAGGATGTACTCCCATAGAAACAATCAGATTGGACTCTAAGAAGAATTTTTTCATTATCACCCATAACTTGAATGATAAAGACAAAATTGGGAATATATCCTTTAAGTCCTAATGGATATCAGTCTGGATACTTTAAAAATCTTTACCTACTGACAAGGGTTTTATGCTACCTACCGTTAAAATGTTTAACTTACCTAGTTTTTTCTAACTTCTTAATTTCCAGCTTTGTTTTTTTCTCTTTCTATTTTTCTTCACATGAAGTCATATTGAAGATTGGCTTTTGGCATGAAAAGTTAAAATAAGACCTCTTTATTTCACAGAACATGCAAGGCGGTACCAAACTCCACGGTCAGCTGGGCCATGGAGACAAAGCCTCCTATCGACAGCCAAAGCATGTGGAAAAGTTGCAAGGCAAAGCTATCCATCAGGTGTCATGTGGTGATGATTTCACTGTCTGTGTGACAGGTAAGCCAACAGCAGAAAGCATCTAAGTGTATTTAGTGTGGGGTACTGTGCTTAATGCTGGGCAATTTTTGTTGGGGTTTTATAACAAAAGGTAACATTCCAGGAACCAAAAAACATTGAGTAATTATATTCATTAATAACAACGTGCCAAATGTGCTATAGTATTATGGGGTGGTGTGCAAGGAAAAGGCAGGCGGATAATAGAGAAGAGGTAGGATCAAGAGAAATGTGCCTGAGCTTACAGGTTTGAGACCAGCCTAAGCAAGAGCAAGACCCTATCTCTAAAAATAGCCAGCATAGTGTCAGATATGCTGACATATCTGATATGTCCCATTTTGGGGGGGACATACGATCTCACTAGCTCCTCAGGTTATTGATAGCACAAAATCAAAGTCAAGATCTAAATTTAGTTTTAGTTTTATCTTTACTCACTTGATTTTTATCTGTGAAATAGAGGTGATTCCAGTAAAATTTTAAGGCCTTCTAATACTTTTTAAACTATATTATAATTATATTAATGGTGCACTTGACTACAACAACTCTAGACTTAAACAGTCTATCCTTCAGATTTTCCTGATGGAGTCATCTCATACATGATCATTGGCCAGGGTAGTTTTCATTCTAGCCCTCCCCAGCTTTCTGTTTGGATAAAATAATAAAGTCCTCTCATGGATTCTGTTTTCCTTCCTTTTGCAGATGAGGGTCAGCTGTATGCCTTTGGGTCGGATTATTATGGCTGCATGGGAGTGGACAAGGTTGCTGGCCCAGAAGTGCTAGAGCCCATGCAGCTGAACTTCTTCCTCAGCAATCCAGTGGAGCAGGTCTCCTGTGGAGATAATCACGTGGTGGTTCTGACACGAAACAAGGAAGTCTATTCTTGGGGCTGTGGCGAATATGGTAGGGGTAGCCTTGTCTCTGTCCACTTCTTCCCAGGTGCACAGCCTGACTCGAAGCTTGTGTACATCTAAACACATCATGCAGCCTGCATATAAGAAGCATTATTCAGTAAAAGAGAATCTTATGGAACATCTTTTGGGAAGGGGTGCTCATTATAATGATATTCATTCTTATGTGTGTTTCAGGACGACTGGGTTTGGATTCAGAAGAGGATTATTATACACCACAAAAGGTAAAATCAGAAGCAGCTTCTTCCTAAAACCTAAGTCACAGAGACTCCAGTAATATGTCCTCTTGACTGTTCTGAAATACTTCCTATTTCAGGAAATACTGTAAGAAGCTGACAATCTAGGATTTCTGATTCAGCACAATGTGGTTTTATCACCTGACTAAGGGAAAGTTGAGAGAGTAGGTTTAACAACTGTGGACGCGGTCACAGCTTACTTGGGAATGAGAGCCAAAATCAGTGTGACAGCAGAAAAGTTGAAACATAGCTACATATATCCTGGAAAACACAAGAAGATAATAGAGGTGCTTATGCCTATATTCCCAACACTTGGGAGGCCGAGGCAGGTGGATTGCCTGAGCTCATAAGTTCAAGACCAGCTTGAACCAGAGCAAGACCCTATCTCTAAAATTGTGGCAGGCGCCTGTCATCCCAGCTACTTGGGAGGCTGAAGCAAGAGAATCACTTAAGCCCAAGAGTTTGAGGTTGCTGTGAGCTGTGATGCCTCTACTGAGAGTGACAAATTGAGACTCTTTCTCTCAAAAAAAAAAGAAAAAAGGAAGAAGATATTAGGAAACAGTAAACTGGGTGGCACCTGTGGCTCAAAGGAGTAGGGCGCTGGTCTCATATCCCTGGGGATGGCGGGTTCAAACCCAGCTCTGGCCAAAAACTGCAAAATGAATAAATATATATAAAAAAGAAAAATAGAAAACAGTAAACTATCTCTTAACCCAGTACAACCATTTTTCCCTCAGAACTCATATTTCTATAGTTGAATGCGAGATGAAATTGTTTTTGTTTAGGGGCATGTTGTATAAAACATAATGTCTAATTACTGTCAGTACTGCCAGCACTGGCACTATGAAAGGGCTCACAAAAGCTGAAATCAGTTGAGGGACAAGCACAATTCTCATTCTCTGACACCCATCCTAGGGCACAGGCTTACCCACTGGAAGGTTAGCTATAACCAACTCTGCCATTTACAGTTACCAGTTTTTATTCACACTTTAAAAATTGAATAGTGTGTTGTAGAGACCATCCTCAGTGGGATTCATACCCGTTCCCTTCCTCCTGGAAAGGCTGTCATAGAAACTGTGAGGTTCCAGCTTTCAGGCTTTGCACACATCCATTGTGGCCCCACATGGTAGGGGCAACACCCCTACCATTTCCAGCCCTGTCTAATTAACTTAGAAGGGTGTGAGCATTTGAAAAGTCCTGGCTGCTGTTTTGTCACCTCCCCCATAAAATGACCAGATTGGGACCCTACAATCTGAATACTGTGTATCTTCTGTAACTGTCAAGCGGCCTTCCATCTCAGAAGACAAAATCAGTAATGGATTGAAGCTTCTTCTTTCCCAACTTTTCCTAGGAAGTAGGACCTACTATTACTGAAACATATTGACTGGGGCTGTCTGTTTACTTAACCTGGAATTGCTGCCTTTTCCTTTAATAAAACTTGAGCTCCTTGTGGAAAATAGTAGCCTCTAAGCTGCTAGGCAAATCTGAAGAGAATAGAGCAGCCCTTACTTCCCTGTACTCATTCTGCTAAATTCAGCATGTTACTTTTAAAAATTTTTTGAAGGTTTTTTCCTAATCTGAATTGTATATTTGGGATTTCCTCTTCCGATTTATTTTTTTCTTGCAGGTGGATGTTCCTAAGGCCTTAATTATTGTTGCAGTTCAATGTGGCTGTGATGGGACATTTCTGCTGACCCAGTCAGGCAAAGTGCTTGCCTGTGGACTCAATGAGTTCAACAAGCTGGGTCTGAATCAGTGCATGTCTGGAATCATCAACCATGAAGTGAGTGCCCACAATGGTGTTCTAACCACATTTTCAGAACTTCTCTAGTTAGAATTTCTTTGGGAGGCTATTTTTAGTTAGTGATCATGGAATTTGACTTAAGAATAAAGTGATGGGGCAGGCATGGTGGCTCACATCTGTAATCCTCGCACTCTGAGAGGCTGAGGCAGGGGAATTGCTTGAGCTCAGGAGTTCAAGACCAGCCTTGAGCAAGAGTGAAATCCCATCTCTACTAAAAATAGAAAAACTAGCCAGGTGTTGTGGTATAATCCCAGCTACTTGGGAGGCTGAGACAAGAGGATCACTTGAGCCTAGGAGTTTAAGGTTGCTACAAGTTATGATGACACCATGGCACACTACCCAGGGTGACTGAGTGAGACTCTGTCTCAATAAAAAAAAAAAAAAGAAGTGATAATCTCACAGACACTGTATTCTCACAAACACTGTATTAAGCAAAATCAGCCAGCCATAAAAGAGGCCGTGCTATATGATTCCAACTATGTAAAGTTCAAGAACAGGCAAAATTAACTAATGACAGCAGAAGTCAAAATATTGGGTACCCTTTTGGGAGGAGGGGTATGGGTATTAACAGAAGAGATGGGAGAGATCGTGGGTAATGGGAATGGTGTATATTTTGATCAGGGTAATAGTTTTACAAGTATGTGCATATAGAAAAATGTATCAAGATGTGCAGTATTCTATAGTATGTTAGTTATATGTAGTACCTCATAAATTGATTACAAAGAATAAAATGACGGAATTCAGATTGTACCTTATTATTTAAATAGAAACAAGAAAATTAACATTATGAAAAAGAAACATATTTCAATGTGTCACCTTGCTGTGGAGCTTTTTGGATTTGTTGTTCCCAAATCATTGATCCTATACACACACACACACCCCTTTAATTACATTTTTCCCTGTCAAGGATGTCATGGTATTCACCACTGACACTGTCTGAGTATCCTCTTTGTGTTAGTATGAGTTTTTGTCATCTTCTAAAGAATCAGGGTAAGAGACAAGTTTTCTTTTTTTTTTTTTTTT